TGTGGACCTCCTTCTATTTTGAAGCCGGTTAAAAATTAAAATAATCATTCGAAAATTAGTTGTATTGGATATCTGTATCATAAATATCTAATACAACCATAAGGAATATTAAATAAATAAATAAATAAAATATTACAATCTTAAAGATTCAACAAAATAATTCCAGGGAAATAATTTAAATGGCAACAATAACATGAATATAAAAATGCCCAGTAACTAAAAAAATAAAAATGAAATATTAAATTTTTAACAACTAATAAAAACTTTTTACAGTAAGTTAGTTTAATTAGGTTTTTCTTGAATTTTTCAATAAGATTTTCTTCATATTTATCAAGTAATTAAGCTTCTAAGCACTTGATTGAGAATTTGCCTCATAATCCACTCGTATTTTCTTATCTATTTTTTTAATACAATATTATAATATATATACAGTTCACCTGATGCTAAGTGGTCGCTGTGACCCATAGACATCTACATCTATCCTGGTTTGCGAATAAAATGCCGATGCGTTGTCACCCGTGAAGAATAAGATGGAATGTCTCGTTACCAGTGAAAAGATCGCCGGTTATCTACTATCATCATAGAAAACCTGCAGCATAAACCTGCTATTTCACGCTGGTTTTCTGTGTGAGCGTGGTCCCTGGCGAGCCGGCCCATTCATGCTGCAACTATGATATAAAAGCTGCTTAGTTTTAGTACGTTAAAGTTTTCTGTTACTATCACACAACAAGGTTATCACCCTATTGTACTACACTGACACTGACTCATCATTATTACAGTCCCTGACAAGTCCATTGCTGAACATAGGCCTAACCTAAGGAATGCCATAAATACGGTTCCAAGCCAAGCATCCATCGACTTACCACGTAGCTTACTAGGTCATCACTTCATCTAGTAGAGGGCTATCTTACACTTCGTCCGCCGGTACGAGGCTCTCGCCACTCGAGAACATTTCTTTCCCATCGGTTGTTAGTTCTTCGCGCTATATGGCTGGCCCATTGCCACTTCAGCTTAATCATCCGTTGCAACTAATACGTTTGGCATCATCAATTAATCTTATAAATATAAAAAATATTTATTATGCAATAAATAAAAATATTTCATTAATGTATGGATCAAGTATCAAAAATTAAAATTTAGAAAGGAAATAATGTGCGATGCCATTGTCATGAGTATGTTGTAGAAGTACAGAGCACAGTAGCACACAGTAGCATCGTCCGAACTGATCTTCGTCATTTAGACACTGTGGAGCTATGCTGCAGCTATATGTTATAGTTGTAGCACGAATGGGTCGACTCGACCGGGGATCGACCACGCTTTCAGAGAATACCAGCGTAAAATAGCAGCTTCATGCTGCTGTTTCGTATGGTGAGTGTAGAGAACCGGAGACCCTTTTTACTGGAAACGAGGCACTCCATCTTAATCGTCAGGGACGGCAATTATAACGCATTTAAATTTTGATTCTTTATTGAGGATAAATATAGATGTCTATGGGCCTCAGCAACCATTTAACATCAGGTGGACTGTGTGCTCGTTTGTCACCCTTATACTATGTAAAATATATAGAATAGATCCGAGCTTTAATAATAAATATTACAAAAAGAGTGTTCAATATGAGTTCATATTATATGGGTCTTCGTGCCTAATCTAAAATTACTACCGTGTAGTGGTCATGTAAGAATATCCACTACCCCATATCATCCCGCGGGTGTCGTAAAAGGCGACAGAGGTAAACCGAAACAGGAGACGAGCAGAAATGTCTTCCTAATAACAACTATAAAAAAAACTGCTGTTAAAAACACACCTACCAAGCGTGGCAACTGTGGCAAAATCTACTTTATGAGCAGCATCGGATTTTTATCGGTTCACAATGAAAATGAATGAATTCTAGGTTGTGAAGATGTTTTTTGTCTGGATTATTTTTTGGCAATATTTTTCGGGTATATATTACACATATTGAATACAATACAGCTGTCATATATTGCCGTGTCCAACTTAGTCCGTGTATCAATTTGAAACTAGTTATGTAAATCGATAATATGGAATCCAAGCTCATCTACATAAATAAACACCGGTATAATATCAAACCAAAATTATAAAATTTATTTTCAACGTATTGGAAATTCCATTCATTTAAAAATAAATTGAAGATTGATTGTGATTTTTTACGTGGTAAAGCCATACTGCAGCTATATTATGATTGTAACACGAATGGGTCGGCTCGACCGGGGAAGGACAACGCTCTCACAGAATACCAGCGTAAAATAGCAGCTTGATACTGTTGTGTTTCGTATGGTGAGTGTAGAGAACCGGATCCCTTTGTTACTGGAAACGAGGCATTCCATCTTAGTCCTCACGGGTGACAACGCATCTGCATTTTGATTCGTAATCGAAGATAGATGTAGATGTCTATGGGGCACACCAACGACTTACTATCAGGTGGACTGTGTGCTCGTTTGTTATCCTTATCCTATAATTGTGGCCGATACGTTATTTTTTATAGAAGCAATGATGGCAAAAGAGTACACTACTATGATCTAATACTAGTAATCCTAAAATATAAATCTTAAGGAAAAAGCTTAGTTATCCCTGAGGATTAAGATGGAATACCCCGTTACCAGTAACAAGCTTATTGGTTAAATCAGTCATTTAAAAACCCGACTGCGTTAAAAAGCTTACTGAAAAAAAGTGTGTGTGTAAAAAGCTTACTGAAAAAAAAACTTATGTACGCACGTAGGAAGTTATACTTCTTTAGCGTAACAAAACAAAACTTGAGAGACTTAACCACTGAAGTCGCTTTTAAGTGTCGGTGTGTGCGCGCATCGTAACAACTTCATGGTGTCGTTTTTAGGTGCCGGTGTGCGCGCACATCGTAAAAATTCAATCCCATCATTTTCCCAAACACCCCACAAGAAGTATAACTACAAAAATCTATTTTGTATTTGCAGATGCAATGTATAAATATTATATGACCTATGCCACTTCTAGAATTAAGATGAATCTAACAACACCACATATGCTAAAATATATGCTACAGAGCGTGCCAAAGAAAGTCGGGTAAAAATGGTCTCCGATTCTCGTCACTTGCTATACAAAACAAAGCAGCATTAAGCTGCTATATCACGCTGGTATTTTGTGAGAACGTGGTCCTTCCCAGCCGAGCCGACCCAATTCCTGCTACAACCATATTATTTACACAGATAATTTAAACTCATCATACGAAACACAACAGTATTAAGCTGCTATTTCACGCTGGTACTTTTTGCATCGTTCTTCCACTGTCGAAAATATTTTATTAAACGGGTTGACGTATTGACGAAACATCAAAAATAAGTGTACTCGATCTTTACTTAGAAATATTCATAACCATCATCGACGTCGAAGATGAATTAGATGAAAGATTATGTTATAAATTTTTGCTCGTTGAAACTGAGTTTTTTCTACTTTCACTTGTCTTTACAACGTTCGTTTTAATTTATAAATTCGTTTTAATCTATACAAATAAATAAAATTGAAGTGTCTGTTTGTAATGTCAAAATTACATTTTTTTACTAAATGCATATGAAAGTAAATACGATACCTATAACTAAAATACAATTTTTAAAATTTTTGTCTGTCTGTCTGTCTGTCTGTCTGTTTGTTCCGGGTAATCTCCGAAACGGCTGGACCGATTTTGACGGGACTTTTACTGGCAGATAGCTGATTTCATAAGGAGTAACATAGGCTACTTTTATTTTAGAAAAAGAATCAGGGTTCCGCGCAGAAACATAAAAACCCTAACACGCGAACGAAGTCGCGGGGAACAGCTAGTTTATAAATAAAACACACGCGTGAGTGTCGTAGAATACTCGGTTGGAACGAAGTGCCTTTCGTAGTGCATTGTTATTGATAAACGTAAAATAATATTTCTTTCATGGAAAAAATGCGAGGGAGATGGATATTATTCCTCCCTACGTCAGAAGGGGTCGTGACGGAAAAATCTTATACTTTTTCTCACCTAGCCTCCATCCGCCATATTCGTACCATCCGATAAGGAACTTTGTTCCAAAAACTAACTTTTGTTTGGCTATACATAGGTAGATAGATGGGTAATTCTGTATGGCACCTTTTTCCTAGTCGAAGCCTTGCTGCAGCTATATTAGTAGTATAGTTGTGGCTCGACCGGAGAATACCAGCGTAAAATAGCAGCTTAATGCTGCTTTGTCTCGTATGGTGAGTGTAGAGTACCGGAGACCTTTTTACGGGAAACGAGGCATTCCGTCTTAGTCCTCACGGGTGACAACGCATCTGCCTTTTGATTCGTAAACGAGGATAGATGTAGATTTCTATAGGCCACAGCAACTACTTACCATCAGGTAGACTGTGTGCGCATTTCTAACCTTAAGAGTAATTAAGAGATAAAAATAAAATAAAAAAGTTAAAAGGTAAGGTAAAGGTAGCCGAGTGACCTTGAGCTTCTTACGACCAACAGTCAAGAACGTCTCAGATCCATATGTCATCACTAGCTACACGCATTGGTTGAGTTAATTTAAAACCGTAATCAAATCAAAGATGGTTCCTTTATTGTACTTAATAACTATTAATTATTAATAGATGTAAAACATCTATTAATAATTAATAGTTAGTTACTGACTGAATGCAGAATTTGCCACCGTGATCAGCATTAATTAAGAGAACATTAACATCATTTTTTTAAATGTTGTAGAGATCCAATTTATTCTTAATTTCATAATTTTACAAGACATACTAAAACGTAGATTCTCCAAGTGAACCCCATTCAAGTTACGATTCAAGTTGTTTAGAAGATTAATTGTTTATTAATCACTGAGGCACTTAGGTAATTGCAGCGGTCAAAATTAACTTCGAAAGAGATTTAACCTTTTAAGTGTGTGAAGATTTCAAAACATTTATAAATACACGATTAGAACATGTGAACTAAATGATTAATATTATTAAACACGCAAATCATCGTGTAAAAAAGTGAAAGTGTAGATATCATAATGACGGACATACAAAATGGACGTATTCCTAATTCGGATAATAAAAATGTAAGCTTCACACAAAATGAAACAAGCGATGATAAAACATTGCTTGAGGACATTGTCAAAGAAAATGTTACCATTAATATTGACAATACCGAAGGCGGGAAAACTGACATCTGTCAAAATGGCAAAATTGACGAAAAAAACGGCAGTGGACTTCTTAGAGATGACAATAATAAATTGGATGTTCCAAAAGATTTATTGGGTGCGCCAAGGGGTGGTCATAGGATGTCGTTTATGGAAGAGGAGAGCGCTAAAGAGAAAATGAGATTGTCTCTGCTGAAGCAATGTTCGGCTATTTTGAAACAGGGCGACCAGTGGTACAACAAGGAATCTTTACATCGGACTTTCCAGGACGAGGTAAGTTTAAAAAAATATACTGTAAAGTTAAAACACTATGCGAATGTTAGAAGTAATTTTGTTATAATTAATAATATTTTTGGTCTTTTATTAATTATGCCTTATAGATTAGATATACGTGACGGACATACAACACCCTACGTATACCGTATAATAAGGCTTTTAAGTTATGGCTGGAGCTCCCATATTACTGTAGTGCATTAGGTATGTTTTTTTACGCACACATAAATAATTTCTCCACTCTTATACGCAAAAGATCTGCGTCAATAATGCACAGGGTTCATGGGAGCGCCAACAGCTTTCTTAACGTAATTAGCTGGAAATCAGAGTGTGCTTTTGAGAAACTGGGTAAATGTGCATGTCCATGTACCCAGTGCCTCGGACCGGCACCCCAAGTATACGAAGTAACGTTTTTTAAACTAATTACCTACATTTACGGATATATACTTGAATGCTTTATCTGTTGTATCTATAACAAATTATGGAATACATGATTTACAATAAAGGACTTAATTATTATAACAAAAGAGCTTACCTGAGTCAAGTAACACAGTACTTCTCGGTTCTCCTAAGTATACACGATCGGAGAAACTTATGTACATACTGGTTATGTGTAGTCAAGTCATGAATTTGAATCTATGTGTGAAATATTTTGCATTTAAACATAAAAATCAATTAAAGTAGCAGTGTTGCAATAACAATTTATAATTTAAACTCAATGTTATCAATGTTCAATTCTAAGTCTATAATATAGGTTCAAATATAATTTAGCCTAAAAATCCAAGGCTATATAAGCCTATAATCCAATTTTTATACGTGGTAGAGCCATGCTGCAGCTACTAGTAGTATAGTTGTAGCACGAATGGGTCGGCTCGACCGGGGAAGGACCACGCTCTCACAGAATACCAACGTAATATAGCAGCTTAGTGCTGCTGAGTTTCATACGGTGATTGTAGATAACCGGAGACTCTTTTTACTGGAAAAGAGGCATTCCATCTTAGTACTCACGGTTGACAACGCATCTGCATTTTGATTTGTAATCGAAGATAGATTTAGATGTCTATGGGCCACAGTAACCACTTACCATCAGGTGGACTGTGTGCTCGTTTGTCACCCTTATCCTATAAAAAAGGGCACCGCCGCCATCTTCCCGTCTTTGAGCTGCTACTGAGGATTTCTACCCGACCTAGGATTTGAATCTGGGACCTCATAATCAGCAACAGAGCTTACGACCGCTGGACCATTGAGGCAGTCATTCAAGCAAATAAATAATAAATAACAGAAGACCGTCCTAGGAGCAGCACTTACCACCACCAGCAATCTAGTGCACTTCCGAGTGACTTTTTACTCAGAGGCCACAGTTGGCGTTCGGAGTAACCTATGATAGTCACCTATCACTAGTATTTTTTTATAGAATAGCGGTGTCGAATGAGCACACAGTCCACCTGATGCTAAGTGAATGCTGTGGCCCATAGGCATCTACGTTTATCCTTGATTTACAATTAAAATGCAGATGCGTTGTCAGCCATGAGGACTAAGATGGAATGCCTCGTTTCCAGTAAAAAGGGTCTCCGATTCTCTACACTCACTATACGAAACACTGCAGCATTAAGCTAGCATTTGACTGGTATTCTGTGAGAGCGTGGTCCTACCTTGGTCGAGCCGACTCATTTGTGCTACAACCATAATATAGCTGCAGCGTGGCTCTGCTACGTATATTACCTGCAATCTCAGAGGACACGTTTCTAGAAGAGGATCGTCACCAAGGGGAGGGCAACGACGAATGTGTCTGATGAGCAACGATAGGACAGCACTGTTAGACGCGCAGATACGAACACAATTACATTGGTATCTCCGTGGCGCAGTGGCTTGGCAATGAGTTACGGCGATGAAGGTCGCAAGTTCGAATCCCGCACGGAACAAGTATTTGTATGGTCTACAAGTTATCGTTCCGGGTCTTGATGTTCGACCTTGTGCAATTTATATTTGCAAACTGCCTCCACTATACAGGAGAAAATCCTAGTGTGGGGGTAACGTTTATAAAAAAAAATATTTAATATATGACACGCGAATGCCAACTAATTTCTTCCTTCACATATATTGACACCAACAGGATTACGAACCCGAGACCCGCGGCATATTACCCAGGTACGTTAACTTTCTCGCGTCTTAAATATTAACGTTTACCGCTACCTCAATTTAAGCCACTATCGAAACGTCCCGATGGCCTCGAATTAAGCTTAAGTAACTATAATAAATTTTGAGGCCTTAGAGTAAGCGAGTTTAATTTTAAAGGTCCTTTATTTTATGGCAATTTATACCAAATATTGATTTCAGCCATGATAGCTCAGGGGTTAAGCGCAAGTGTAATGTTCACAATACGCGAGTAATCCGGGTTTGATCCCCGCCGGCACCAAAGAAATTGTTACTTGCAATTTTAAGTGCTGACTTACCACGTGCTCAACGGTGAAGGAAAACATCGTGAGGAAACCTGCATGTCTGAGAAATAAGAATAAAAAACATATTTCGAAGACATGTGATGTTCGCCCACATGCAATGAGGCAGCGCGGCGGACATTTCCAACCCTAAAACCTTCTCAGAAGTAAGAGGAGGCCTGTGCCCAGCAGTGGGACGTATATAGACTATAACTTTACTTTACTTTATTTATTTTACACAAAAGTAGTCTATTTTAACTTAAAAATTAGAAACTCTGTATAAGTCTTATTAAAAAAATGTGTTTTGGCGGTTTAAGAATATGCAATTCTAATTCAGTGTCTAATTCATGTATCATTTTAATTTTTATCTGTCAAATTATATCAATGTTTGTTTTGTTGTCTGTTTTTTTTTTTTTCAAAAATAGAATAAAAATTGAAATTATACTTTTACCCCAGTTTCGAAAAAAAAATCTGTCCTGGGAAGAACCAGCAAGAACTCCAGCAGGCCATTTAAAAAAAGAACAGTTTATATTAACAGTTAAAGTAAGCTCCTTAATTTTATATTAACCATTTTAATACAATCATATATTGTACTTGTACGGTACATAGTAACGATGTAACAATATCTACCACCCCCATATCTCCCGTTGGTGTCTTAAGAGGTGCCAAAAGGAATTGCACAATTAAATACCACCTCCACCGAGATCCAAATAGTAGAAATGTTTTAATTACGAATGCGCGACATGCCGGACGCACAACATTTTTGTATATCTGGAAATATTTTTTATATTGTCTTTATTGTTATTGTGATTTAGCGCTGTTGTGTCTTTAAAATAAACTAGAGACCCGCCCTGGCTTCGCCTGGAGACTATCACTTTATTTCGTTTCTAAAAAGCGTATTTTCGGATATATATATATATATATATATATATATATAGCCGAGGTCCCTTCTGGCATTGGTACAGTTGCTTCACAATCTGTTGATCCCTTCAGAAGATTAGCCCGCAGAGACAGAGATTTTTTTTAAATGATTATTCGTGTCTTAATTGCATGTCAAATAACCTTTTGGGCTTAATATAAACCAGTTATTACAATATTACAGACATACAATCCATATTTATTTATATGTAAAATAAATTGTAAAAAAGTTTATTTAAAAAAACACGCATTTTTCATGGCCCGACTCGTTTACCAGTACAAACAACATCGTTCATCTGTAAGCATCGTAAAATTATGAACAAAAAATACAACTTTCAAAATTAAATTACACCAAATTAATTTCCAATTGGTTAAACGTAGATCCGGTCGACATTGTGTATTTATTACACTGATATTGAATATCTACATTGTATTGAGAGGAATTGGAATGTTTTGCGAAAATGAAAGGTCTTCGGTGCGATGAAATCTCATTCGTTTTCGATGTAATTTTGAATCGTTAGTATGGATTTATTTTAATACTGATTGGAACAGTAAGTGCACTAATTCTTGATGGAGCCATTTGGGCTAATCGTCCCACTGCTGGGCGCAGGCCTCCTATCATTTCTGAGAGGGTTCTAGGACAAAAATGTGTCTGCCGCGCTGCATATGCACGTTGGCGAACTTCACATGTTTTCGAAATATTTTTTTATTTCTCAGGCATGCAGTTTTCCTCACGATGTTTTCCTTCATCGCCGAGCACGTGGCAAATCAGCACTTAAAATTGCAATTAACAATTTTATTGGTGTGGGCGGAGATCGAACCTGTCGTTTAGGCAATTAGCCCTACGTCTTGGCTGGTGGCACAGTCGGTCAATCACATCAATTATTCTCTACGACGACGTGCTTTATTTTATCATCATCATCATCGTCATTACAACCATTCACAAGTCCACCGCGGTACATAGGCCTCTCCCAAAGAATGCCATAAAACACGGTTCACCTGCATCCATAGACTTCCTGCATATCCACCCATGAGCAACGATGGCATGTGGTAACGTTTTAATTATAAAGTGTAATACTTTATCACAAACCGTAGCATTAGACGTATAGATCATAGATCTATGAAAGATCAATGATCGATTATGGATCATTAGAGAGTGATAGATACGATACACCGCATGCATCATACATTATTCAATATTGTTTTTTCACTCATCCAGTCGAGAGAATGCGTTAGAAAATTTTACTATAAGTGCGAAAGGGACAAAAGTAATATCTGTATTGACAGGTGCGGTCGTTAGAGGCCATTAAAGCGGCGTTTTTTTTTATAGAATAAGGGTGACAAACGGGCACACAGTCCAACTGACGGTAAGTGAATGCTGTGGCCCATGGACATCTATCGTCAATAAAGAATCAAAATGCAGATGAGCTGCCACATGTGAGAACTAAGATGCAATGCCTCTTTACCAGTAAAAAGGTTCTCCACTTCTCTACACTTACCATACGAAACACAGCAGCGTTAAGCTTCTATTTTACGCTGGTTTTCTGTGAGAGCGTGGTCCTTCCCCGGTCGAGCCGACCCATTCGTGCTACAACTATATTACTAATATAGCTGCAGCATGGCTCTACCACGTAAATGTACTTATGG